CAAGGGTTATTTTTAATCTCTCCTATATCCTCTTGGGTAGTGTATACCTGAGGGTTATCTTTAATCTCTTGCATACCCTCTTGGGTAGTGTATACCAGAGGGTTATTTTTAATCTCTTGCATACCCTCTTGGGTAATGTATACCTGAGGGTTATTTCTAATCTCTTGCATACCCTCTTGGGTAGTGTATACCTGAGGGTTATTTTTAATCTCTTACATACCCTCTTGGGTAATGTATACCTGAGGGTTATTTCTAATCTCTCCTATACCCTCTTGGGTAGTGTATACCTGCTGAGGGTTATTTTTAATCTCTCCTATACCCTCTTGGGTAGTGTATACCTGAGGGTTATTTTTAATCTCTTGCATACCCTCTTGGGTAGTGTACACCCAAGGGTTATTTTTAATCTCTCCTATATCCTCTTGGGTAGTGTATACCTGAGGGTTATCTTTAATCTCTTGCATACCCGCTTTTCGTTTCTTAAAAAAACAACCGATACGAGAAAACAATCGTTAGAAATGCTGACATTCGGTAGGGCTACAAGGTTTGGCGTTATTTGATTGGTTGACTGGTTAACACACAGGTATGTAGTGTTTATAGCGCGCGCTGACCGGCTACTTCGGAAGTGATAAGCAAGTATTATTCACCTCTGAGAAGACGAAGAAACGAAATCGCGAGTCAAGACGGTAATTTCCGACCATTTATTGGTATATTAACAGAATTAAACCAATTTGTTAGTTTCTGTGTAGTATCCGATAAAACGACGATTCACCTCACCGTCGGTAATTAATTGATAAGTATTGCTTATGGCCTTTGAATATTTTTGCTTCAAGAGAGAGCTTGGGAACGAGGTTAAAGTCAGTCAGGCGTAGAATTGTTACGTAGACCCTTTTCCAGAGCTGGAATCTCGTTTCTGCCTTCCTGCCGATAGATGTATGCCACGACCATTTAAGATGTCGACAGCACTTTCATGATCTGTAGCGTGATACAACTTCTCAGACTGTTCATTTATTCCTCTAGGAATCTCACTCGCAGAGACCCAGCCATTAAGATTAATAATGTTAACGTGAGAAAGGGGTTTATCTTCAGTCAGCTTTCTCTCGGAAAATAAAGGCTTAAACCATTCATTTATTATAGCACTCTGAAGAGGAAGAATTTAAGAACGGGTTGCATTTAAACTCGTCTGGAACAAAGATTTCAGCCCAATCGCACCAATCAATGTGTTGTGCGTCACTACCTGCACGCTTGACAATTACATCAACAGCCGAACTCAAAGGATCGATTTCGATATCATGAAGCAGTTCTTTGCTAAGAGAGTTTTTGCCCGACAAATCAGACAATGCTGTGAAGATGTTCCTTAAGAAAATAACTATCCAGCTTCTCTGGCATATCTTGAAGACGGTCGAGAAAATCAATTTGAAGACCGAGGCAAGAACAAACACAGACTGTTTCTCCTTCCAGTCGGTCACGATCTTCCTTCAACATTTTAAAACTACCTTGTTTGATTTCTGATGACATGGAATCCAAAATGAATTCAAATCTAATGGCACTTAAATCAGGTAAGAGAAGTTGGAAGCCTCCTTCATCCCTATGTAACACGCGTGGCAGGTGCCTCAGTCGTCTTTTCAAATCTTCTGCCGAATGAACTGCTTTCTCGACTAAGTGTTCGTTGACATGATTTTCTTGATTTTCTTGATTTTCATTTTCCTTTTGAAAACGTGTTCGTCATAACCACAGCTTCAAGAACAAGGAAACACGCTCAAATTGCAAAGCTACTGATGGAATACTGGTCAAAACTCCCTTTCTATGAACCTCTCCATTTTCCTCTTTAAACGACGACGATGATGTTGCCTCTTCACTTTCGAAGAAATTGTCTGTGTCCCGCTTTGAAGTCTCAAATTCAAATCCTACGATGTCAAGGAAGGATTTCAAAACAGCTACTAAGCGCAGTACTTCGACGTCCATATCTTGCGCTTTTCAGTATCACTTAGCGGCGACCACAGTTCCTCATCGGATTATCATTTGGCTACCACCTGTCAATCATTATGTCAAAGAACTGCTAAACGTATGATAACAGATCTAAATTTTGGTGAAGGGTGAAAATACTATGTAATGCATTATGGGAGCCGTAATGGTGCAAAATTCAACAAATCAAATTGCTGCCAATGTGACTATTTAAGTCAACGAAAAAATTTGTCCAACTTCAACAACTGATATCAATATCAACACTCCAAACACACTGAATCTAACAACGAATTCAAAGTAACTCAACATCAACACAAATTCTCCTAGTCTGCAACCCTAGCGAATCACGTCAAAACCAATACAACTACAACGCTACCACGCTTTCAGTTTGTTTCAATAGTTCTAATGTTTATTGCCTTTGAATATTTTAATTTTTAATAAGTATAGAACTTTAACTTATGTAAGGCGCTTCTGAATGTTTTTTATAGTTTTAGTGCTATATAAATTCCTTATCATTATCATTATCATTATCATGACAGTTGCATGAGCGCAATAACTTGTTCCCAAGATCCCTCGGCCATTTCCAGTCGCTCGTACCCAAATCGATAAACGTGTTCTGTTTTTGAAATTGAAGCCCTATGCCGTGTTGGTTTTGACGGGATTCGCTAGGGTTGCAGGCTAGGAGAATTTGCGTCTTTTGTTGTTGGATTTAGTGTGTTTGGAGTGTTAATATTGATATTAGCTGATGAAGTTGGACAAATTTTATAGTTGACCTAAACATAGGCAGCCCAAGCTCACGTCTCGAGATGTCTAGAATTTCATCGAATCAATAGAATTTCATTACAACCGGAAATAAGAAAACAATGAAAACAATGGTGTGACGTTTACTGTGTCTTCTACACCAAATAAGAGGCGAAAAAGCCAACTATTAATTCTAAAAGCGTCACGCGTTGAGTGACTTGGTGTTAAGTTACGAGAGGAACATTTGAAAATTTAACACCTTATAAGGAATGGTATGGAGAACGAAATATGGTCGATTTACAACTATAAAAATTTTGAAATATGAACATTTTACAGGTTTATTACACCCATTTTGAAATCACTGGTGGTCCCTGTAATCTGATTGGCTCTAATTGATGCGATTTATTCACGAATCGCACCATTTTTTGCTTTAAATCGCATCTTTTTCACAGCCAATGAGGAGGCTATACTAAAGACAAAACAACCAATCAGATTTAAGGCTTTTAAAGTAACGGATCAAATTGCAAGAAAATGAAAGACAAGGAGTATCATGTGGCAAATTTTGCAACTTTTTTTCTTAACTCTTACTTTTCCCCTAGAAAAATGGACATGACTTTAATTTCAGACCGGCTCAGTACTGCATCAATAAAATATTTGAACTGATCGTGTCCTGCATTTGGGCGATTTCAAAACGGATGTAATAAAGTGGTAATTGAACCTCGTGTCGTGCAATTTTGGTCTGAAATCATACTTGTGATTTCAAATCACACGTATGATTTCAGCCCAAATTGCACTCCACTCAGTGCAATTACCAATATAAATCGATAAACTTAATCACATCCTGTGTGTCCGTTGTAATTTCTGGCGATTTCTGCCGTTTTAAGCTTGCTTTACCGTCACTGTTATTCCTGTCAAAAGACAAAGTCAAGGCTGCACATTCCGATTTCGACCGTTGTCCACGCGGAGGTGGTTTGCGCCCCGAAAATCCTCCCGATCGGCATTTCCCACAGCTATAGTTTACAATCTGAGATCATTTCACCCTGGGACATGTCTCAATACCAAACTCCCCGAGCATTTCGCCGGAAACGAGCGTTTTCTACCTGCATTTCCAAGTTCGCTCCTCTCTGGCTATGCTCTTTACAATCAGACTGGACACGGCCGCGGAAGAGACTTGGGTGCGAGGTCAATTTTCTCTCTACCGCGAGTGGTACGGTCGATTAATGTACAATACTTGCCCCATTCCCACAGAGACACTTCGCCTTAATCTACTGTCCTGATCAACCAATCAGACACAACGCGTGACGCATTCATGAACTAATCGTTGGCTTTTACTCGAGACGTGAGCTTGGGCCGCCTGTGACCTAGATAGTAAATGTTGATGTGGGCAGCAATTTGATTTGTTGAATTTTGCACCATTACAGCTTCCATAATGCATGAGTATTATCATGATTTTTAATTCACTCATATCCCAGGCCGACGAAAATTCGTGTTTTGAGCCTTAGGTCGCACAGAGGCTTTCTTTCCCGTGCAAGAAACAATCGTAACTTATAAATGCTGACATCCGGTGGACTACAAAGCTTGGCGTAATTTGATTGGTCGAATGGTTATATAAACCGTGCAGGTATGTGGTGCTTGTAGCGCGCGCTGATCGGCTACTTCGGAAGTGATAGGCAAGTACTATTCACCTCAGAGCAGACGAAGAAACGAAATCACGAGTCAAGACTATAATTTCCTACCATTTTTCGGTACATTTATAGAATTAAACCAAATTTTTGGTTTCTGTTTAGTATCTGTTAAAACAACTATTCACCTCACTGTCGGTGATTGATTGATAAATATTGTTTATGACCTTTGAATATTTTAGCTTTAAGAGAGAGCGTGGGGGCGAGATTGGAGTCTGTCAGACGAGTTGTCAGGCATAGAATAATTATTCTTTCCTAGTCGTCTTTATGGGGCGCGCCGTTTGAAGTCCATTATCAATTTATCTTTTCATGGGATCATGAATAAATCAGTTTCTTTCCTTTGTGGGTCGAGACTGTCTTCCTTTTAATTCAGTCAAACTTTTCCCTGTTTACAATGACGTATCTGTCTTTTGAATACAAAGAGGCCTATTCACTCAAACGTGACAAATTTGCCGTTTATCTTGCACCACTCATCCACCATTCTCAAACCCCTAGGCAGCCAATCTTGTGCGCCGGTCAGGTTACGCGTCACTTCCCTTCAATACAATTTAAATCTCATGAGTACTGCCACTCTTTAATTCAACGCGCCATGCAAATTCCTCTAAATATCTGCCTACGAGCGACAAAGCTCGCTCAATATTTTTTCCGTAATCTGTGCCGTGTCCCTTTCAGTGACGATATTCACGCCGTTTTTCAGCTGAACCTCTCCCAGGGTAGAACCCAGCACATGAGGTAATTTCAAAATAAGTGGACCTCAAAATGATGTCCGAAATGAGCGATGAAAACCTCTACAGCAGTTCTGCTTCTGATACAGACGAGGATGAATTTCATAAATGGCCACGAGTCGAAAGAACATCAAGATTTTCGCTAGTTTTCTTTATTCTCGGAGTTTCTCTGATAGTGCCCTTCACCACATTCGTTTGTGCGGCTGAAGATGTATTAGCAGGAACTAATAAACCAACAGGATTGGTGATTATATCGTTAGCAGCTCCTTCGTGCATTCTCAAGGTAGTGTCGCTGTGTTTTCATCAAGTGTCGTACGTCGCTCGCGTTTTCCTCACGGCCACATTTGTCCTCGCAGGGCAGTTGTGTACAGTGTTCATTTCCAACCTTGAAGGTCGCATAGTGGGAGTTTGTTTGGTTTCTGTTGGAACAGGAATTGGAGAAGTTTGTCTTCTCATGCAAGCTGCAAAAATGCTGGAAGAAGCTGCCCTATGTTCGTTTATAATAGGAACCGGAGCTGGTGCAGTTCTAGGCGCTGCCTCTTACGTGGGTAAGTTACAAAAAAGGTTACATTTGAGAACCGTAGATATTTCATATTTTTCGTTAATGTACGTGTTCTAACATATTATGATATCAACATTGCGTGTTTGTTGTATAAAGTAATCTCAAGAGCTGCGAATATTTTATCATGTCATTAAGTAAAAAAAATTCTCATTTTCTCGAAAATACCACAATTCATTTCTTTTCATAGTGAATTTATCTTGGTAGTTCTGCAAAACTTTTAAAACAAAGTTGTTTACAATGCTGCTTTACTGCTACGTCTATAATATTGACTAGATTGTTCTCACTGCGTAGGAAAGTTTAACTTTTTCCTGTTTGTAAATATACCAGGAAAAGGCTTTGAGGCATTTATCGGGGAAAAAAAAACAATCAATACATAATCAATTATTCTTTTAGTTAAATTGTAAATCTTATAGTAAAACCCCAGTACTTTGTGTAAATAATATCATAAAGTCTTATAACGGGTAACGTGAATAAATGACGCTTGTGATTTATAAGAGAGATGTGGGCTGATATCTTGCTCGCGGGCTAAACGCAACAGTAATTTAAGTACACCCTGTACGGCAAGAATCATGAAATGATTCAAGCTATAAATTTCGATCGCTCATATAAATGAGGTCTCTATATCACGTTAATTCCTCGTGAAATGTGTGGCATATGCATTTGTAAAGTACAATCCTTCCTGTTACCGCAAAATTCCTTTTATTTCGCGGAAAATTCTTCAGTTAACCGCTAATTAATTCAATAGAGGCCCCCTCAAAGGCTTCCCGTTACGAGAGAAAATTTCAGTCGATCGACTTCCAAGATATTCACTGGGATTGGTTTATTTTCTATCCAAACTAATATGACTTTTTTGAGAGAAGACAAAAAAATCAAGATACGGCTGAAATACTAAGAAATCAACTGAAAATATGATTTATAACACCCCAAAAAAGGAATTAATACTGCAGAATTAGATTCATCAAGTTTCATTATATCGCTTCACGTAGACACGAATTTTAACTTCCCTAAATTTTTACGCAACAACGAAACAGTAGCAAACACATTTATCCGCCATAAGAAAAAGAAAAATAAACTATATAATTAATTTGTCCTTCAGATAACCGTGTAGAAAAACATTTAGTTTCTTTATTTGCGCGAAGACTATGCTTTTTGTCCTCATGTGAATTAAACACAATAAAAATTCACATTTCCCAGGAGCCACATATGTAATTCTTGATCATTGCCCTCCAAAAACTGTTTTTATTGTTGCTTTACCACAAAGATCAAAGTCTTCACTTTGCGCCGGAAATTTTCGTTTTTTCCTGTTTGTAAATATTCTAGACCCCATTTGCGCTTTGTTTCATCTGTGCTAGAAAATTTCGGTTTTTCCTGCTTGTAAATATTCAACTCAGCTACATCCTACAAACCTGATACAACAATGTAAATTGTTGGCGTATTACAGTCGCATCAAAAAACGCAGAAAAACAGATTTGATACAAAGCTCAGCGCATAAAATGATGTTATTTGTATGATGATCCAAATATTTCAAAGTGGTTTCTGGGAATTTGAATTTCATAGCCTTAGATAACCAATCAAATGCTCCACAAATGAACGATAGGGAACCCATGGATCGACCAACGGGCAAAATGTGGGTGCATCTGCGTCAGATATGCATAGAGAATATCTGTCGCGATAAATCTTACGATATTCCATTGGCCTAGCTTTAATGCGTTCTGTGATTGGTCTAGAAAACCCGCGCCATCTTCTCCACCAAGCAGATGTAAAACTTAAACAAATCGCGATCCACTGGAATTCCCGCGCTTTGTTCACTTCGCTCGTGTTCGTAATGAGTTCTCATAGTCATCTTAAGAAATTCACCTCTGTTCTGATTGGCTCTTGTGATCACCATGAATTTAATTGAATGTTTCGGGTTTTTTCACAGGCTTGACAGTCTGGGCCACAGTAGACCCAAGAACAGCCATATTGGTGTCCGCTATATGGCCGCCGTTGTTTCTCCTTTTGTTCACAGTTTCACGCGGAAATCTTCATCTCGTCTGCAATTCACAAACTTCTGGGTCAATATCACGGTTTGAACGGCGAAACTTTGAAGTTGACTGTCGTTTGACTCCACGCTGGAAAGAAAGATCTTTGTCGGTGTGGAAGTCTTGCCCTCATTTTTTGGTTTTGTTCTTGGTTTATTTTGGAGAATATATTGTCCTTACGGCAATCCTGACGACGCTAGTATTTGAGGGCGCAGGAGTGGGTCCAGAATTTGTCCCAAGGGGACATTTTGAGCACTATGTTCTGAGCACCATGGTTGGAGAGTTCCTCGGTCGAACTTTCATTTCCATGCTTCGCGCCGTCGCGCCCGGATTTTTCTGCATTTCAGCCTCGGTGCTCGCGATTTTTCCTCTTGCTCAGACCATTTTCCTTTTACTAGCAACCTGGTACCGACTTGTTCCAGAGGTGTGGATTATTTGGCTGTTGTGCTTCATTCAGGGCACAATTTGTGGGATGATCTTCTCGAACTCGTACCACATCATCGCGAGAAGGTTCCTCTCGCAGCACGTCATATTCACTATCACGCTTGCGTCTATCTTAGAGACCGCTGGTATTCTGACTGCGGGCCTGATTGGCTGGCACATCGAACCTTTGCTCCTCGGGCACTGTATTCATCATTTTGGAAATAGATCGGATTGTTTAACACGAAGTACGGACCCAAGTTTTTGGGAATACGGAAATAGGTTTAACTATGATAGCAGAACTGCATTATCGCTATAATTGAAAGAGGCGTGGATAATAATTTTTATACTTAAACAGTGAGATAGTATAGCTGGAAAAGATTATTTTAACTCCTTTATTCCTGCAACGATTACAATTTTTTTCGGGCACAAATCCCGCGCGCGTTACTCAGAATTGAATAGCAAAGGAAATCGTTTGGGTAGCCAATCAGAGTGCGCCTTCGACGTTATCCACTGTTTTAGCAGAAACTAGTTTTAGATATTTCCACTGTATTCCAATGGTAAATATCTCACATGGTATAAAAATAATTATTACCGCTATTTTCGCTGTATTCCAGTGGTATATTTAGAATAAAAATGGCATTTCTAAGTACATCGCAATTAAATTAACCCCCGACCACTGAAAAAAAAAAAGCATAACGATTAATTTTTTATCTTGGAGGAAAGAATTATCGTTCGACAGTTTTCGTGTATTCACGGTATTCTTTAGATATTACAATCTTTTATTTCATTCATTAAGCTGTAAGAAAGAAGGTTTACAATGCTCAAAGCTGCCGCCTTTTAAATATCTTCCGCGAATTTCTGCCTTTTTCATTTAGGGTTATAGAGAAATGCATCAGATATTTCCCTGACCAATGACCTATCAGCGACTCAAGCTTATATTTAGGAGACATTCTACTCCAACAACTTAAATATAATATTAAATACTTATAAAGCTACATTGGTGAAGCTGCACAAAATTAATTTAACTTAATTATTTAGTTTATTGAACCAATAAAGAAGTGATAGCCTATTTCGTGAGTTCTGGTAAATTTGAACTTTTTTTAGGTGGGTTCTGCCGGTTCTCTGTTGAAAGATAACTTATTTCCCGACCTAGCGTAGCCTTCTCAGCATTCAGTAAGGCTTTTTTTGTGCAACAGGGCCAAAAAGCTTGGAAAACACTATTCGCTTCCACCTTAAAGTTTTAACCCGATTTTGAATCGTTGATGGTAGCGCGAATCAGAAAAATCATACTTTGATTTGAGTCGATGAAATCAATATACACTAACGTCCGTAGTCAGAATACATTTTCGCATTTGAACGACTGCAAACGAAAAAAATGAAGTGGAGCCTTTCATTATAAAAAATTAAGGCAATTATCAAATTTGTGAGACCTTCAGGCGAAAAGGGAGGATTTTCCAACCATTTTCCTGACCCATGCCCTTTCAATCGTCATTTTTTTTTTTTACCTCATTTCCTTTGAACAAAAGCCTGACACAGGCTAATAACTCCATCACAATACTTTTTTATTAAAATTCCGGCGCGTCTTTCATATAAACTGCGCATTAAAATATTTTTTGCACTAAGGAAACAACATCAGTGTGGCTGCGTGGTTAGGACCCTGGTGTTGTTGGTGGTCCCAGGTCTAAGCCTTCTACCCTGCTGTAGTTCTCGTTCGCCTCAAGTTCAACTTCTTGGCCGCTTTGTACAGAGGCAATTGGTTTGTCTCCTACCGGTTGGGATTTTTACACACTTTTTTTCAATTATTCATTCATTCGTATTGGCGCTGAAAAGCCCCATTGAGGGACTGGTCCATTAAGTATACAGATACATTATTACATACATACATACACAACATAAATTCTGAAAAACTTTATTCTTGATAATGAACAGTGATGGCAATGGTCAGATGTTAAAAAATTACAAAGGACGGATTGAGTAAAATATATACTGCTTTCCTGAAATAGCAGGTCTTCAACGCAGTTTATCTCAAAAACTCTTTACAAAGTTCATTCAAAGTCTGTTGCTTATTACAGCATTTTGTATCATGGCCAGTTTCCAACTTCAGTCACATATTGAAAAGATAACTGCTAAATATATTAGGATCCAATCCAAAAATATTTACCCAACTTTATCAATGCCTTCATTTTATAGATTAAACAAATACCCCAATTTTCAAGGAATTCACAGTATTATAGTGGATCAATGTCATTATCTGAGCAATGCCCACCCACCCCTCCCCTAACCCAACATTATCCTTAAACTTAAGTTATCAGTTGCATTTTGTTGGGTTAGGGGAGGGGTAGGTGAACAATTGATCAGATACTGACATTGATCCATTACAGCATAAAAAGCCACAGAAACTACCTGGCTCGATAAATAACTTTACACCATTATATTTTCCTACAAAAGTCCCTTAATACAAATACTACAAAATTATTTTCTTGTCAATGAAATTCAACATCAAAACTGCCATTCCTGGGTGATTTTTTCTCTAGCCTATGCAGTTGGCAGTTGGTTGGCATGCAGTGCACATACAGCTTTGCTGATCACAAATATTTTCCTTCATTGCACACCAATGGCACTACCATTAACAATGGCTATCAAAATAGTCACACACATAAATGCCTGTTTGATATTAATGCTCCAAGTGCAATTGCATCAATGGTTTACAAATAATAATATAATATTTAATTCTAATATTTGCCAGCATGATGCAGATTATATTCCAAAAGAGGTGGATCATTCAATGAACTTGCACTTGCCATCTTTCTGGCCTATAAATTAATTAAGAATCAGTGTACAGTGAATGCCAGAGTAGGATGAAATATGAGTGGTAAGCCACTAGACATGCTAAAATTATTGATAAGGATTCAAAGTTTTCTGCATTTTCAATGCCAATGAGTTTACATGGGCATTTGTTCTATGAAGCAACCAACTTAAAACAAATTTTTTTAAGACTTCAGTTCTGATTTACTTTAATTTATAAATAACAATATTAGCTTTATTTCTGCATCAATAAAAATAGAATAAATCAATTGAAAATAAAAATTCTCCCTCATAGAAAAACTTTTTTTCCCTTCCAAAATTTGAGCAGAAAAAGCAAACCAGCATAAAAAACGAAGTTATTTACAAGTCTAGGTTGATGAGAGAGGGAAAAGACTAGGTCCCTGGTCTCAAGCACAGACCTCAGCTAATACTCAAGACCTCTGGCACAGTTTTGTCCCATACAGACCTCCTGCCTGGTCAATAACATGTAATTATCAACAATGCATGTAGATGATCTTGACTTAAGCAAATAAAATTCAGATGCCAAGACAAAGCCATATTGGACAAAGAAAGTGTTTTAACAAAAGGAACTTTCTTGCTTAATTGGGATGAGGTATGGAACCTATTTAGGCAATGGGGGATCCAGAAAACTACAGGGCCCAGTTGTTCGCAGGCCAATTAGTGATGACCCAGGGTTAATTTTTAATCGAGGTTTTTTTTATTTCTCTGTTCAAAAGCCTTTCAGGGAAAATTTTCCCTATTCTTTTTGAAATATCCAATGATCAAATTGCAAGCAAAAAGATTTAAAATTAATTTTCTTTTAAAGCTTTCAGACCTAAAATCAAAATTTCACACTAACCCTGGGTTATCTTAACCTAGCTTTGAAAAACCCTGGGCAGGTGTATAGTACCACTCAAAAGTAAGTTGACAGCCTCAACACGAAACTTGATCCTCAATCCTTAAAACAATTGAGCATTACAGATTGAGAATCAACGGTCAAAGGTTGAGTTTCAAGAGGCGGATCGACTTACTTTTTACCAGTGCTGCAGTTGTCTTGACAACTGCTTAACTAGGAAGAGGTATGTAACTGATTTAAGCAGAAGAGGTGCAGATTTAGACAACTACAGGACTGCTAAAAAGTATATTTGACAGACTCTTGAAACTCAATCCTTGATCCTCGATTCTTGATCCACAGTTGGCAAAACTAGAGGATCTGGTTTCAAGGCAAGACTGTCTAGTTACTTCTGAGCAGTACTCTAAGTTCATCATGAATTTTGAAAAAGCAACAAGGATTAGGGAAATCAAAAAGAGATCACTGAGAGTGACCTCAAACCAGCTTATTCTTAACACTTTTACAGACTCCTCTCTCCTTATACTTTTGATGTTGTCATACATGAAATGGTCATAGACTTCCAACAGTCTCAGAGCATCAATGCTTTTTTCTAGTACACAACATTTTGAATCTTGTTTCATTGCTAAATAGTCCAATTGATCAAGTCTATTCTTAAGACCTGGAGACTACACTTGTAATAAATTGGAAGGAATTAAACTCTTCAAATACCTCTCTTGTCTAAGTCCTGTCCTAACATTTGCTGAGGTTTGAGGGTTTTGTCGCCCATTTGGTTCATGACCTGTTTGACGCCTTACATCTAAAACAAAAAATATATTCCAAAATAGTTTGACCCTAAAACTATTAAGATGTGATTCAAAATTCTCCCCTTTAGCTGCCACACATTTTCTTGCAAATTGATTGTGAGAATTTAGAGTTACATCTAGACACACCATTAACTTCCATTCATCCATTCTCATCACTATTTTGGTAGATAATGTAAAGATACTGTAAAGAAAAATAACATGACACTCACTTCTAAGGGTTCACTGATTAACCTGTAACTTCTCTCTGTAAAATCCACACATTATCTAGCAAATAGGTAATGACTGTACTCAAAACTTATTAAGTAGGAGTTTTATCTTGATCTAACACCAAATTCTCATAACTAATTTACAAGGAAATGTGCAGCAGCTGGAGGAGAAAATTAACAATCATATCTTGGGAGTTGAAAGGTTAAGGGTGAAAATACAAGAAATTGGCGCAATGATTCAAATTTGCCAAAAAAAAAAAAATTGAATCTGTTTCCAGCCTAAAAAAAGGTACCCTTCACAATTAGAGGTAATAGACCTTCCATTCCTTTATGGACTTTCTTTTGTAAATTATTTTGTCACTTTAACCAACAAGAGAAGAAAAATATCAGTGACTGTTTTGAAATAAACGTCCAACAGTGTATCATGAGACACATGTAGGTATTTAAACAGCTGGAAATCCACAACTCCTTTTGTAAAAACATAAATTGCCTTTTTTTTCCCTTCAAATGCAATAAATCTCAATCAAATAAGAGAGCTTGAATTTACATACACTGTGGTTCAGAGTTAAAGTCGTCTCTCAATTAAAGTTTTATTATAATGATAAAATCATGCATTCTTGAGAGAAACATTTCTTCTATATAACAATGCACCTGATAAATCAAGGTCATCATCAGAACGTGGATCCTGTATTTCTGTCAATAAGTGTTCATCAGCGTATCTCCTGAAAATGAAATATTCAAGTCACCAGCATTACTTAACACTGTTAGCTTGAAGTGTGCAATCATTGAGTTATAGATGCTGTATCAGGCCGTCTGAGTCGTCAACAACTTAATAATAAGCGTAAAAATATTTCCAAGCGAAAATATAAACCATGACTTCAGTAGTGATTTTACAAATTGTGTAATTTTGCTAATTTTTCTTTTCATACGTTTCTGTTTCAAAAACTTCTCTGATTACAAAGTTATAACCCTGGTTCTTAGCATTTAGCACTACAAGAACTTGATGATATTAACGAACATGAAAAAAACTCAGAGCATTATTCGCAATTAAATATTCATAGGGTCGTAACGCAGAACTTGCTATGGGCCAAATTATCACCACAAAGACAAAAACAATCCTGACTGTAAAAATATATTTGACGTCAATACTTGCTTGAGCGTCGTGATAAGCCTATTTCAGAAGTATTCCATTTCTGAAATTTCGATCAAAACTGCGCATAATTTTACGCTTGTTTCGTTCCCACAAATAAACTTGAACGAGTACAAAATCCACCAAGAAGGTTAAAGTAAACAACATTTTTACCTCATTTGACAGTAATTTCAGCGTTTAATTACAGTTCACAGTTTCCTATAAGGTATCTTGACTGGCTTCGCATTAAGTTCTTAAAAACATGTGATTTTAAAGCGCTTTGTAAACACAAAACTTCAAACTTACCATTTGCTCTTCGGAGCGAATGTTGTGAAGCGATCATAGCCCCGCTTTTGCCGAAAAGGCAAAAAGCTTCCATCTTCTGTTCCAAAACACTGCCCCATCATAACAGATTACTGATAAATATACATTGGTCTGGGTTTGACATCACATTAGAGGAGGAAATTTCAAATATCACGCAAAAATTTGCCCATTCACATTCTTGAAAGCACAATATATTCCCGCTTTGGCTGACAATGATATACCCCAGTGGGGTGGGGACAGAAATTGCTGCCACAACAAAGACTTGAGATAAGAAACCTCCGCAAATTCATTAAATTTTCATGGTGTGAAAGAAATGGAAACAACTCAATTTTATGAAAAAATTTCAATGTTCGTAATGAAAGCGAGTTATTACTCAAAAGTTTTGAACTGTTTTTTTTTCCCTGGCAAACCCCTCCAGAAAATGCAATTTTGGTACAGCTAGGTAACCGCTCACGCTCCTTCCATTCCCAACATGGCCGCCAGTAGGAGTACATTTGGAAATTTCTCGTCTCGAGTACTTCAATTCTATAGAGAATCTCATGGATTGAGAGGTATCTAACAATAATTTGTTGCTTGTTTAACTGAAAAGTTGGTACTAAGCTATGTTTGGTCGTTACTTCTGCGTAACTTGTCTTCGAAAATTATCTCTAGTTCCCGTCTGTAATCTCTCAACAAGTCAAGTTTGCAAAAAGAAAACACCTCATACAGTTGGTGTCCCTGCGTGGGCAAAAGCTGGATTAAGAAGAAAGAATGTTTTATTAGAAATGAAGAAACCAAAATCGGAGAGACAGATCCAAGCAGAATTTAACCTGGAAAATGACACAACAGAACTCAACTTGTATACTACGACAAGAAGAGGTCCTCTCTTCGAGAACACTGCGGATACAGAGAGTCGAATAGAAAAGTAAGAGTGCCTGATTGGGCTTGTGGTAATCTGGGAATTAAGGGGACAATCCGTACAGGCCTGCATTAATTTTTCTGGCGTTATTTCCGTAAAGCGTAGTTCACATCTATGATCTTCATATTTACAGTCATTGATTCATCACTTCACGGGTTTAATACGAACCAACATGATGATCAGCTCCCAGTTGGCTTGTTAGGTTTGTTGCTAGGTAAAACTTCCGCACAGCCCCATCCTACATTATACATTCAGTTCTTGGATAGAGAAAACAATGACAAAAACAATACATTGCCATTGGGAAAACAGATTTGTTTTATAATAGTATGGGGCTGTGCGGAAATTTACCCCTTTTTTCTTTGCTGCTAAAGTATTTCATTATTTATTACCATTTCTTAATTGGCAGTTCACATATATGATTTTCATATATTTACAGTCATGTATTCATCACTTCATGGGTTTATTTGAAACCAACATAATGACCAGCTCCCAGTTGGCTTGTTAGCTCATTTAGTAGAGCACTGCACATATTACACTGGTCATGGTTTGAAATCTTGTACAGGCCTTAATTTTTTCCAGGCCTTATTTTCATTACTGTCTAGTTAGTACTCATTACTGTAAAGATTTCTTTCACATTCAGATCTAACAGACTTGGTAGAAAGCTTGTTTAAATCACAATATGAATTGATTATGTTTCTCTGTAGAGCAAAGATAACAATGTCAGCTGATAAGACCATGTTTGTTTGCTACCATCCTGCCAAACCATTTCCTCTACAGTTTTCAAAGGTATTTTGCTACTTAAATTATATTTGTAATTTTAAAAATGTAACAGAAATTGCCGTTATTACTGTTATTATGAATGCTTAAGCCAGAGGTATCAATGGGCAGTTACATCAGTCTAATATCTTTTAAAAAAGTTGTGTATGTCTCATGACTCAGTCAGTTCTGACTTGAATTGCAACAATTGCATCACACACAGCTGGACTTTGGGTATTTAGTACCTTGTTCTTATCTTGTTTTCTTTGTTTTGTACTATAAGTTTCAGACTGAGTTTTTTTCCGCCTAGACTTATGGTCCTAGGGTGAAGCACATAGGCCATAAATCCATGCGCAAAAAAAAAAAAAAAGGATTTTTCATAACTTACAATACGGTCTGAGAAAACAAGTTATCCATTTAACTCCCATGAGTGACCAAGACAGAATTTCTCCTCACCATATCAATACAATATCAAGCAGACAAGTGATGCAAATAAAGAGAAATATTAATTAGGGGATGGTTAGTTGATCCAATACTAAATTCTCCAAACTAACATCACAAGAACCATATGGCAGACAGTAAGGAGAATTACTAATGATATCTTGGGAGTTAAAGGGTTAGAAAGATAATTAGTACATCTCGGGGTTCAAATAGAGGGGGGAACATTTCAATTCAAGCAAATTTTGAATTTTGCAGGCCTTATAGCGAAATCCAGCCTGCTAAATTGACCAATCATGATGCACTCACTAATAGAGAAATATGATAAGGTTGATTAGTGACATGTCACCTTATCAAAGCATTATGCTCAGATATGATGGATATGACTAGCTGGTTTTCAATTTCTGTGATTAATGCAAACAGCAGACTCTATGTTCATTGGGCTATCCTGTTTTTGTGCTCTTCGATCGTGGACATCAATGTCTCAAAGAGTTCTGTTACACTTCCTTCATTTATGCTATTAGGGTGAAGTCCTCATTTCAGTTGCCTCTTTCACCCTGCATGTGTTTTGCTTTCAAACAAACTTGGAGTACCACATATTATTTTGTGATCAATAATGAAAACCTATTATGGTAGCATTTATAAAAGGTAGTTATAAAGATTACCGTAATCACTATCTTACAGGACATAGGTTATCATGTGTGGTGGCACCAGGATACCGACTACACTGAAAACTATCGAGATCATTTGACAAAGGAAGAGGTTGGTTATTTATAGCAGGTGGGGGAGGGGAGGGGAGGGGTAGGGAAGTTCAGGAAAAAGGTCCATGGGGTCTGGACCCCACCCATCAGAACTGTGGATAATTTTTATCTTTGTCTGAAACCAAAATTCTCACAAGGACAGGATTGTGTATTACTACCCAACTTGATGTATTTCTAGCTTATTAAGGCTTTTGTAAGATATTCATTGTTTTCTGAATCAAAGTTCATCCCTTCCCCCCTCCACACAAATTTGCTGCATCTGCCCTGAATGGTACGTGCCAGAGATTATTACTGCCTAATTTTTTTTTATCTATTTTGAAAAATTTAAAATCACGAATTGATGAGGAAAAAATTTAAACTAAATAGCCGTATGTATGATATAAATGGCAACCCTATCATGCACAGGACAGAATGCCTGCAAAAGACAGATTTTTATGTCAAAACAAAAACGAGACTGTATTAGTAAAAAGTAAAACTGTTCCGCTTGAAGGAATAGTAGAAAACTTAAAAAATTCCGAAAATCAACCATAATCTGACGATTGAAGCTGGTTTCTTAACGAAAAATCTGGTAAACTTTAAGCGGAATAAAGAAACTGGGTTTATTTAAAGAAAATCTTATCACAACGGATGGAACTTCTATTTCCGTCTATTTCCGATTTTGGACAGTTCCGTTAGATTTCAGGCGCTATCGAACAATTTCGGACCCTTTGGTCCGTGTTCGGACAGCTCCTTGCAATTTTAAACACCCCTGTCCGATTTTGGACGTCTTCGTTGGATCTTGCACGCTCCGATGTTGGACGCTCTTGTGCAATATCGAATGATTCCAGTGGATTCCAGTTGCTAGACACTAATGTTTTCTTCCCTATTTTGGTCACAAAAGCGGGAAGAAAAAAATAGAGACTGATTTGGCAGCGAAAGTCGCCGAGTTGGCGACACGTTTTCAGCAATCATATGTAGCAAATAAGATGTAACGTTTTATAACTTCGTTTTATTACTTCGTTCATAGTCAGTGAGTGCATAACTTGACCTTTGTGCATGGCAAGTTTATGAAAAACAAACTCTCCAAACACTCTCGATAACACATTAGATGAAAAGGGAGGCAGAACTAAATCAGACAAACTCCTGCAGCGTTGTAATATAATCTGCAATCTTTCGTGATATTGCACAAAACTTTAATCTTTAGTTTTGTATTATTGTATTATTTCTTCTTTTGTAACCAAATGAAAGCTCAATGAAAGCTAATAAGCAGTATTTTCATTTGGCACTGCTGATATTTATTTTAACAATTGAGCTACATGTATATGATGATCAATAATTCACATTTGTCTCGATGTCGTTGTTGTCTTTCTGCCAGACCGCAGAAGTGAAAAAGCTCCGTGCAGAAGATCCCAAGCTGTGGACAGTGATTGCTCTGAGTCGAATGTTGGAAGTAAAACCTTTGGCTATACTGTATGTACCTTCTTTTGTCTTGATTGAGATCCCGGGTCAGTCTTAAAAAAATTGACTCAGGGCTTAAACATCTTGAAAAATTCCTCACTATACTGTTTCCGCGTCTAGAGTGCTAACACCTCTTTCGTGTTTCGCGATTTTCAACCTTAGCAGGCTGTCCCTTTTAAGTCATTCTGTCAGAGAAAATGACATTGGCGATTGCATCATAGCCTCATCCGATCCAAACATATAGAAAGTAGTTTATCAAAATATTTTTTGAAAATATTCAGAGAATGTCCTAATCTTTTTAACTCGAAGGCGAATTATCGCGGAGGTGTTTTATCTTGGACTGTGTCTTATAGAATAGACTGTTCTTGGTCTAATGTTACTTATTTTATCTATGCAAAATTCTCACAACTGACCTCCGAGAAATGAAGGCATACAGTTAGGAGAATTGAGGATTTGATTTATAATTTTTGTTGACCTGTAGGTTGGCCGCTCCTCTTACGGATGAACAGAAGTTTGAACTTGAAGTGGAACGAAAGCTTTTAAACGAATGGACCCTTTCAAAACGCAAAATATACCGAGCTAACCAGGAATTGGTAAGAATTGGCTTTTGGTCACTCCCTCTTTCTCGCCCCTCAATCACGTTGATTTCTGATTGGTTCCTTTTTTCTTTGTTCTGATTGGCCATCGTGATTGTTGGGGTTTTTGCTTAACGAGCCTCAATCATGCTATGCGCGCTTAAAGCACATTTTGATCGAGTATTGTGGAAAGAAAAAAGGATATAAGTAATCAAAAAATCAAGCCAGAACAAAGATAGAAGCTAGGGTAATTCCAGGCGTTGAGGTAGTAAAATGAAGCGCGATACTAAAAAGCGCTATAGGAGCGGCTGACTGAAAAAAAAAAAAAAAAAACCAAGGAAAGACTGGGTCGGGTCGCGTAATAAAGCCCCGCCCGACCCAAACCTCCCTCGCATTTTCCGCCATTTGCAATTCCGTTCCGTTTTGCCAACTGAATGCCTGGAATAGGGTAAAGCGCGGAAAATTCTAATGACACGGTCGCGCTTGGGTATAGCTTTACACCTGATTGGCGGAGAGGATGGTGCAGGGAAAGTTTGTCAGTTCAGATCACTGAACGAAGTAAAACAAAACCGATGGAATATCGTGTTGCTTCCGACGCTCGATTCATTTCAGGTCTTAGTTCGAATCACGGGTTAATTGTTTTTAATGTTGTTGATGTTGATGACGTGCTTGGCATAGTTTGGGTGAATCTCTCAGCCTAACACTGATTGTAATTTCTTCGTGCCAACATTGCTTCCTTGTATTTCCCTTCTTTGCAATCTTTGCTTAGTTTTTTTCCGCATTTCAAACTAGCTCAGTGTTTTCCTCCCCCTCGTTCCAGATTTGGTGTTAAAGAATGTTACGTGCGAGGAAGTATTTGTGTCGCATGCTCTGTCCTCGTGCTAGGAACCAATCACATCGTGAGGATCTCAAAAGCAAATCAGCGATGAGAATCATATTCGCAGTTCGTGTTGTACACGTGCAGTCAACTGCTGTGATTTGTAAGATGTTCGCATCTGAGGGCTTTAAGGTTCCAATATTTTAGAGAATTGCAACTTAACAAAAATATCGTTTCAATATATGCCCTAGTTTTTTAATTGCTTTATTTCGAAACTTCATTAAACAGGAAAATGCTTATGTCAATATTTCTTGGACTGCGCACTTGAAATATTGTTGCATTGTGGATTATTGCCAGATAACTACTTTAATTAATTTAATTGGCCACGTTACGTTAATTGAGATCTTCGTTTATTCGTTTTTTCTTAGGAAAGACTGCGTTACTATCAGGAAACTAGAGCGAACTCTCCTGAAAACGAAGAAAAGACTATCAAGAGCGAATCTGAAGATGTTGCCTCTGAAAATAGAGCCGTGGGTGGAAGTTAAGAATAAGCGACAAAAAAAAAAACATGCCGTCATGCACTTAAATCATGTGAGAGTGACGTTGTGTGAAAAGTTCTGCCGCTGGCATCAGAACGGTGGTTTATTATGTGGCTGAAGAAAGAAGATTTAACATCCTCGATCTCCAACTAAATGAATGACGAAAGAAACTGTGTCAAATTATGTCTTTGACGAGTGATGTATTTTCGACGATGTTTGATGCACATTCTGACCCACTTCACTTCAACCCAATGTCATAAAAAATAAACGCCATTATCTTTAAACATCGTTTATTTTAGTATTGACTGAGTAAAGAGCACTTTTCAATTAAATGTCGAAAACAATCCGAGATTGCACTGGGTTTGCACCGTGATTGGTCCAGAAAACTCGCGCCACTCTCTCGACCAATTAGATGCAAAACTAAAACCAATCACGCCTTGGTCGCCCGCGTTTTCCCGCGCTTTAGGCAGCTTGCTTGTTTTTACTTTGAGTTTTCATTGGATCCTTATGGCATTTTCTTTTATTCGATCTGATTGGCTTTTATTATTTCTTTGGTTTTGTTTTTATGAAAGTTAATCGAAGAGTGCACTATGTGTCATTAAATTATAGTATACAGCGAAATTAATGAATGACGAAAGAAACTTCATTAAAGTTGGTTTCCGTCGAGTGGTTTATACTTGTCGGTGGATATTCATCTGCACGTTATAAAGGAGTTTGACCTAATTTACTCAAACCACATTTCAAGATAAACCGGACTATTCCTTGACAGCCTGCAACTGACGCGAAATTTGAAGTATTTCGTATTGTGATTTCCTAAGCAATACAGCGATGAACAAAGGGAACACAACCCTTAAAAAAATGGAAGGTTTATGCGTGCACGCAAGAGGGATATTAGGGTATACTGAATTAGATTAGCTTTTTTTCCAGACGCTCAGTTTTTAATTTCCTGCAAGAGAAAGCCTTTAATTCCTAAAGTTTAATTTTTGGTTACTTTTGTGTTTGCGTTTCCCTCTCTAAGGATCGTCAGTAACTAATTCCCATGTTTCCCACGGTTGGCTGTAACGGAGAGTGTAGTACGATCTGGGCACGAAATAGGATTAGGAAAAGAGTATTTTCCCAAAAGGATACAACTTATGTACGACTAAGCAAACGTGAATTGTTCTTTCCATTCACTGTTAAGTTGTTACTTAGCCAAGCAATGTTAAGAATTTGCCATAAAGCAGACGCTCTTTGGTCTCTTCATGTACATGCCCCTGTCAGCCGAAAATCTGTTTCCACATTTCATCCTTTCACTCCCAGGAGTGATCAATAGATAACTTCTCCTTAAGGTCTCAGTACATTCCCAAGGTGAAGCAGAAAGGTAGTGTGGGGATAGAGAAATATCAACGGTGGATACATTTTTTTATTATATAAACTGAGGTGTTTACAAGGATCTCCAGCCCTGAGAACGAGTCGTAACTGCACGCGTGTAAAATTACGAAATTTTTTACATGTGTTCGATATCATAAAATTATTTTCTCTTGATATCACCATTTAGCTGCTGGTGTGCCACTTGCCATTTGCGTAGCTCATTCATTGACAAAGTCGACTTTTTATGTCAGCAAAGCCCTTTGCTGTTCAAGTTCATACCGAATAAATAAACTTAGTTGCTTGTAACTATGGAATTAATTTCTCCTCGATCTCAGTTAATAGCTGCGCTCACTCGTGAGATATCGAGTGAAAATTCCATATCTACGTGCGCCCGTGGATTTTTCTCTATTTATCTGACACCAAATTATATGAGGTAAAATCGAAAGAAGCGTATGGCAGGAATTAAGTGGGTAGAATTGATATCTAAGTGAAAGGGGGAAGATGTTTTGCGTGGTTCCTCTGGGACATGCAAAATTAACTCCAACTCAAGAGGAACCCTAAATATTGCATTGGCACATTGGAAAAACATAAAATGGGCCTAGGGATTAAACTGAAAAAAAAGAGAAAAACGGATGATTGGAGACGGGAAGGCAGCTAGGTAACCAACTTGGGATTTGAAGGCTGAATTTTTCAAGTTCACAAATGGTTTCCTGGATATTATATGTGGGCACACTGGTTTCTCTTTGCACATTTTTAAGAATACTACTGCTAAAAAAAGCGCTTCACTTGTTCACTTGCACTTTTACGCCAAACTAATTTGGTTTGTCAGAAAAAAAAAAAGAGGATTATGAAAAATAAGGTAATAAGTTGACAGCCATAGTTTCATTATATTTCTCGCTAGTCGCGGTATATTCAATTATCAACTAAAACTAAGCGTGCGGCTGAAACAGGAAATTTTTTTCCACAGCTGTAGATAATAATACACAATACTGTCTGAGTGTGTAAATAACTTAATCCCGTTTACGCCAGACTCGGTAATCTACCCAACTGCATTAGCAATTGTCCATGCGGCGAGATTATTTTATGTCTTTGTGGTTGCTGAAGAAAAATACCATTGAGGTCGTCAACGATGTTGATACAAGTAATCCTTCTTTTAAGGAGTCGTGGTTAAAAGTTACTGATATTAGTTAATTAGTTCATTTTGAAGTGAATTTTTTTGCCACCAGCACTTAACTGCTGGAAACACACAACATATCACCTTTTTTATTGGCTGTGTTCTGCACGAATTTTTTTTTAACATCTCTACAGTTTCCCAAAGAAATTCTGACACTCAGGGGATTATCAATCATGATCTCTTAGAAATCCATTTCTTAACCTCAAAACAATGTCCCTTGTTCATATCTACTGATGCCTGAAGAATTGTAAGTCTGTTTTTATGACTCCAAAGTGCAAGATATTTTATCTTGAAGATAAAGAGGCAATCTTTCTGATACTAGCACCGTTTATTTCAGACTTTGCGATTTAAAAAGCAACCCTGTGAACTTGACTTTGAAACTGTCGTGAAAACGAAGTTCTGAAACGGAAGGAAACCCAAACTTTCGTTCCACGTAATCCAGTCCTTTGGCAACTAAGTCGACCGTGTCGAGAATGTTATCACTCAAATAAACAATACATCACACACACATACAGGTTGAAACATACTGTTTATGATTAAAAGCCTCTTTTAATATTGGATTTTTCAATTGTAGTCTGCTCACAATATATAACTCTCTGCCTTACGCCTCTGTCCAATACCAGCCCAGGTTGTCACGGCAACGTCAACGTCATGAGACAATACAGAAGCTGGTTGGTAAACCATTATAATGCATTATAAAAGGAAACTGAACTCCAAACAGTTATGAAATATACATGATGCCGGTTGGGCTCCGACGCGACCTTTGTTAAAGATTTGGATTATTTCATTAAAGATGTCGATGTGGAATCGGAAAAACTCGGTGGCCATTCAGTCGTACTCAGCCAAGGCCAACAAACCTGAACCGGATGAAAATAAAAGAGTAAGTGAAATGTTTTTTATTGTAATTCTACTGGCATCCGGCGAAAGGTGGAAATGATGCGATGATGATATTTCAAGGCCGGCTCACGCAACTTTCAGATCGGGAGTGAGACAGCAACGATTTTAAACCGCAGCGCTTCATTTCTCGACGGTCCTTTTTACTCGCCTTCAAATTGGCAAATTGAAGGGGCTCCTCGTGCCTTCGCTGTTCGTTAGGCGTTCGAGCCTTCTCTTAATTACATCGTCTGATGTTTATAATTTTCTTGACTCTTAACTA